CTTCATTTTGTATAATCTACTTGTAAGCAAATGTAAAGAATCCTCAAATAATATCCTACAGGCCTGGAAGATGGATCTGACAGAGAATGTAACGGATAAGGAATGGTCAGAGGCTTGCTCCCTAGTTCAAATGCAAACATTAAACACGCATTCTAAATTATTACAATATAAATGGCTAAGCAGACAGTATACTGTAACCCTTCTGAAGAGAAAGATGTTAGTAATGGTGATAGTAACTTGATTCTATGGCCAGTTGGACAGAAGACCTAGATTCAGCTACGGAGCCCAGGGTAACCAAAGGATGCGCAGGAATGACACACACACTGATCTTCTTTTGAGAAAACAACAATGCTTCCCAATTTATTATAACGCTGGGAAGATGAATGAAGCATATAAAAAACACAATTAAACCACCTTACCCGGCCAGGTATTGAAAATAATAAACCAAGTTAAAATAAAAATTAAAAAAAAGATGCGCTGCAGCTGCGTGTGTCTCTACTTTCCAGTTCACTTTACTTTACTTGGCACCGTTTAGGTGAAAGCAGTCAAACCACACTGTAGTGTGGGTGTGTGTGTTTATGTAAAAGTGGAAAAAGGATTCAATTCCGCGGTGTTGTTGGTTTCCTCAAGGGTCCGGCTCGCCATCATCGTCTCTCTGGCTCCGACATCCAGGCAGGTTCCATCCAAATCCAAGGGTACATCAAAAAACCTGACCAACGCGATTTCTCCACCCGAGCGAGTCCTCCAGCTGCACTCCTGCAGACTCTGGCCGTCCGGGGTGATTCCTCAGTGGTGTTTTTCCAAGTTTTTATCAGTTTGTGTCACTTTCACTGGCTTCCTCTGCTTCACCGTCCTGACATGGAGATCGTGTCCAAAGCGTGCTCGTTCTCTCTTCTTCCAGAGGCTTCGGCGGAAGTGAACCTGTGCCGGTGGGGTCACAGGCTGTCTGCTCTTCAACTCATCCCTTTCAAATTAAAGTTCCCATAACTTTTTTTTTTTTTTTAATATAGTTCGGCTCTTTTTTAACTGTATATTTGTCTTTTTAACAGCAAAATGAATGAATGAATTTATTTTTTTTATCACAAATTTCAAGTTCAAGTTTTTAATTAAATAAAATTAACACATTTACTGTCTTTTAACCCAACTGTCTGTCTTTTTTTTAACACAAAATGAAATGGTTTTAATACACCTTTTAAATACACCGTTTTTTATCTGGGTTACAATACGACTCCAGCTAGGTTACATCACTTATCAAATGTAATCACCATAGGGGGACACTGTTTCATTGTATGTGGGAATGCCCTCAGATAACTGTTTTTTGGAGGAAGGTCCTGGACCTAACTGGTCATATTATTGGTAAAAAAAGTACCCTATGATCCTAAACTATGTATTTTGAATATTTACCCAGATGATTTTGTCATCTCAAACAATGTGAGGGCCTTGTTGAATTTTTGTCTGCTTGAAGCTAAAAGATGTATTGCTCTTGTTTGGAAGGAACAATCTGTTTGTGGAATCTCTCAGTGGCTGAAAGGAATGACTTTTAACTCTTCTCTTGAAAAGATAAGTAATTTCACCAAAAACAAACTGGACAAGTTCTGGAAAATATGGAACATTTTCTACACTTACTTGGAACAGAATGAGATCCGGACTGATGCTTGGAATGACGATCTGAACTGACTCTAAACGGCTGTTTTTTGTTTTTTTTTCTCATCACTATCATCCTTAGAATTATTATTATTATTATTATACTATTTTATTTAATACCATAACCATTACTATTGTTCTTGTATCACTGTATACTGAGATGGTTATTTGTTGTCCATAATTTTTCTCTTGAAAAAGCAATAAAGAGATGTTTAAAAAAAAAGGGTTCAAGTGAGTGGGACAAGGTCCAAAATTGTAGAAACTGAAAATGGCACGCCACAAGGCAGTGTAATTAGTCCCATTCTTTTTAATATAATGATAAATGATATTTTCAGGAACATTGGAAGAGGGTTTGGGCAGTCTTTATTTGCAGATGATGGGGCCATATGGAGAAGAGGGTGAAATGTTCAAAGTTCAAAGGGCATATTAGTTTCTGTAGAGGAATGGGCAGATAAGTGGGGATTTAAAATCTCAGCCATGAAGACAAAATTTATGATTTTTGGATTCAAAAGAAATTGAAAATTGAAATGTATGGATCCTTGCTAGAGAGACTGAAAGTTGAAAGAGTGTGATAAAACGACTGACATGGCTGTTCATATTGCAAAAATACAGGCAAAATGTGAAAAAGTGATAAATGTAATGGTCTGGCTGGATGTGACTGGGGTGCAGAGAGAGAGACCATGCATTTAATATATCAAGCAATGATAAGGCCTATAATAGATTACGGTTGTTATGTATATGGATCTGCTGCTAAGTCACTGCTGGGGAAGTTGGACATTTTGCAAGCCAAGGCATTGAGACTCTGCTGTGGGGCATTTAAAACCTCACCAGTGCCTGCACTGCTCACAGAAATGGGGGAAATGCCCTTAAGTTTAAGACGTAATTAGTTGGAGCTGCAGTACTGGGTAAAATTAAGAGGATCTGATCAGGCACTCCCGGCTAGATGTCTCCTGCAAGAGCCGGGGGATTCTGGTGGTAGGGTCGAGTACAGATTATTTACTTACAGTGTGCATCAATGGGTCGTGAAACTAGGAATTGAGCAGGACAGCAACACACGCAGGCTGGTTACCTGTACCTCACTGGGTAATGCAGGAGCCGGATGCTGATCTCACTTTTTTGCAAGAAAAAGATAACACTGTGATAGCTCCACAAATAGATCAATATCTTAACAGCGTTATGGAATATTACTTGAAAATCTTCATAGATGGTTCTAAGGATCCAGAGAGTGGGAAAGCAGGATTTGGGGTGTATGTAGCTCAGCTGGGACTCAAGTTTGATCAGCGTATCACAGATGGACGTTCTGTTTTCACTACAGAATTATTGGCGATTCTTTGGGCTCTGTGGTGGACTGAGGATATAAAACCAAAATCAGTTCTCATTTGTTCGGACTCACCAGCTGCTCTTGTCTGTTCTGTTTCGAGTTGGAAAGACTGGGTGTGAAGTCAAGTTTTGTTGGGTTCCTGGACATGCTGGAGTTGAGAGAAATTAAATTGCAGATTCTATAGCAAAGGCAACCCTGCAGAAAGAAATAATAGATTTAAATATATCTCCGGGAAGAGTGGAACTAAGAGAAAGAATCAGAGAGGGTGTTGAAAACGAATGGCAGGAACTGTGGGAAAAGGAGACTAGAGGAAGGAATTATTTTTCTTTGCAGCCCCTGGTTAGAAAAACCAGTTATAGTTTCGGAACTCGAAGTGATTCTGTTAAAATCTGCGGCTGAGGCTTGGGCATTGTGGATTAAATCATTATCTGCATATTATGGGGAAGCATCCTGATGGATTATGTGAATGTGGGCGGTCAGAAACAATTAAACATGTTTTTTTTATTGTCAGATGTATAGAATAGAGAGGAGGTCTTTTATAAGAAGTTGTCAGAGCTGGGTGTTGAGACATTTTCTGTTAAATCTATTTTCGGACAGGGTGAGAATCATCAGATGATTACAAGAGCAGCCTCACAGTTCCTGTGTGAAGCAGGGCTGTATGTGAGAATATAAAAAGACTTTGTCCAGTGGAGGGCAGTGATAATATTCCTCCATGGCTGTACCCAGAAACAAAAGTTGACATGAGCATTCTAGAAAAGAAAAGAGAATGGCGCTTGACAGAAACTGGAGTTAAAACAAATGTATATCTGAGACAAAAATATTATAGATACCTAAAAATATTCACAGATGGCTCTAAAAATGAACATGAGTGTGTGGGTATTGGTGTTTTCATTCCAGAATTCAATGTACATATCTCTAAGAGAATTTCAAATCAACTGTCAGTTTACACAGCAGAGGTGGTGGCTGTCATTGTATGCCTGCAGTGGGTGGAGGAGGTCAGACCAGATCGGGTGGTGGTGTGCACAGATTCAGCAGCAACTTTAGAAAGTATACAGTCAACTAAATCAGACAGAGAAGATTTACTAATAGAACTACAACATAGTCTATTAAGGCTTCACCGGGGTGGTGTGGATGTACAGTTCTGCTGGGTACCAGCACACGAGGGGGTGAAAGGGAATGAGACGGCTGACAAGTTAGCAAAAGCATCACTAAGAAAAGAAATTACAATACCTATTCAGCTAGGTAAAGGAGAAGGAAAAACAATAATCAAGAAAAAAGGAATGGAAAAATGGCAGGAAAAGTGGGATGAGGATCAGAAAGGAAGAGGATTTCATAAAATACAAAAGTCAGTAATAACTAAGATCTACAGAGAGAGGAACAGGAGGGAGGAAATCCTCATTTCACGTCTTAGAGTAGGACACACCGGACTGAATGACACCATGTGGTTACTGGGGAAAAGGATAGATGATTTGTGTGATATGTGCAGAGTAAAGGAAAATGTAGAACATGTGTTGCTTCAATGTATGAAGTATAAAATAAAAAGGAAAAGATTTGAAGAAAAAATTAAAGAGGCAGGTAGGGAGTGGGGCCTAAATGGAATTCTGGGAACAGAAGGAGAGGGAGAAGAGATAAGGAAGGGGAGGAGGGCGCTGCTTGTGTTCCTAAGGGACACAGGGCTGGCAGCTAAAATATAAAAATAGGTAAGTGACATGATGATGCACACTCTTGTACAGTAGGTGGTGGTATGCACCTAAAAGTTGTTTGCGACCCGCCATTAAAAAAAGAGAAGAAGAAGAAGAAGCAGAAGAAGAAGCAGAAGAAGAAGAAGAAGAAGAAGAAGAAGAAGAAGAAGAAGAAGAAGAAGAAGAAGAAGAAGAAGAAGAAGAAGAAGAAGGTGATACTCCAAGTAGCGTCGAAGCTGCCGGAAACGAAGAAGAAGAACTGTTGGCACAAGATGGCGTCTGATAGAAAGGTGTGTTAGCAGAGTCTCTTTGTTGTGTTTTTAAAGTCTAAAGTCCAAATGCTGAGAGTGTAGGTGAAGCAGCGACTAACTGCGGCTGCTGAAGAGATATTTGGGCTGGTTGAAAGAACGATAGCAGAGTACGAGGAGGAACTTTGTCGATCAAAAGAGGAGAACGAGCGACAACGGAAACTAATGGACGCTGTTTTCAACCCTCAGCTTCGGTTACACAGAGCAGGTTTGTTCATTAAACATTACAAGTTCATTATTAATAATATAACTGCAGGTTTGTTCAATAAATATTCAGTCTGTCGATGTTTATACGCCGCGTTAGCTTCTCTGGTGTCGTTAGCTTCTCTGGTGTCGTTAGCTTCTCTGGTGTTGTTGTCTTATAGAATCCGGAAGGGTTCTAAACGTCTGTTTTGTCGTCCGTATGAACAAGTCAAATATGTTCATCTTAACTGCTTTACCACTGTGTCCATGCAATATAATGCAGATAGACGGGGTGGGAACAATGGGTTAACAATGAGTTAAACCTCGTTTGTTTAGGTTTCCTTATATTAGTGATCATGTTATTATTATGCTGTCTATAATCAGCTGTCCTATGCCTGATGAATTTTCTTATCAGTCTTTTACATTAGCTTACATTTGAGCCATTATTTCCATGTTCTTGATCTTGTGATTTTATCCTGAATTGTACAGTAAGTTGTTAAGTCTGCTTTAATAAGAGCACTATAAATTAATCTTGGCCGAAACAGGACCCTTGTATAACTTTTTCAAGTTGCAGTCAGTCAGTCAGTCAGGGTGTCAGTGAGCGTGTGAATGGCGGTCCTGCGTGTTGGAGTCTCCGTATCCATGGCAGCGATGACGCTGAGTGACAGACCTGCCATTCTGTGTCATGCTCCTCTGCAAATTCTGATTTAATATTTCTCTGCTATGTTCCATGAAACCCTTTTGGTTTAATATTTCTCATGTCATTCCCAGTACATGAAAACATGGTTTATGCAGCAGTGTGTGCACAGAAATAAGGGACAAATTGCATTCTGTATTGATTTAGTAAGGGACAGTACATTTTAATTGTGGGATGGTCCCGTATTATACGGGACAGTGGTAACCCTACGTGAGACCCGAAAAATGCTGTGAGATGGCAGTCAGAGGTGACAGAGGTATGATCAAGTTGTCCGTGGTCTGAGGTGTGACAGGTGGTGTGTTCCATGTTTAATTCTGAATTGCTCCAGAAAAGAGGATTAGCAAACTGTTAGTGTACCGTTCCGTACCATTATGATAGGAAAACATCTGTTCTGGTTCAGCGCTGGAAGCTGCGTCTATAATTCATGCAAGGTATCATGGGGGCTAAGAATAATGTGGATACAAAGCTCGGTTTTCCTGAGTAAAAGACCACATTTGTGTTGAGATGAATCTTTTATATAATTTTATTTTATTTACTCAGGGTGCCAGTAATAAAACTTGATGCATGGCAAACTCTTGCATCCTATGGACAGTCATTCTCACATAATTCACTTTAGCCTGATCACATAACTGTGTGTGTGTTTACTGTTTCCTGCAGACGCCCAGCAGCTGTTGGTGGTTAAAGAAGAGGTTCCCCCTGAGCAGCAGGAGTGGAGCTCCAGTGTGGACCAGGAGGACCCAGAGCCTCCACACATTAAAGGGGAACAGGAGGAACTCTGGATCAGTCAAGAGGGAGAGCAGCTTCAAGGGCTGGAGGAGGGTGATATCACCAAGTTCACATCCACTCCTGTCCCTGTGAAGAGTGAAGATGATGAAGAGAAACCTCAGTCCTCACAGCTTCATCAAAGACACACTGAACTGATGGAAACAGAAGCAGAGGGAGAGGACTGTGGAGGACCAGAACCAGCCAGGAATTCAGATTTGGATACACATTTACAACCTGAGACTGATGACGAGACTGGAGAGTCTTCTGAACCTGAGACTGATGACAGTGATGATTGGACGGAGACCAGAGAACCTCAGTCAGGTATCTGTCAAGTCACACATTTGCTTGTCTTAAGCAAGTCTCAAGTTTTAACCTTCAAGTCTCAAGCAAGTCCCAAGTCACTGTGGTTAGAATCAAGCAAGTCAGGTCAAGTCCTTGGTATGAGTCAAGCATTTTGAGTCATGTCATTTTTGTTTCTTAATTGGATAAAAATAAAAAGTCAGACTCTGTCTGTGTTTTTTGTAGAGAAAAGACAATAGCACACCCTATTGTAATTTGCATTTGTCTCTGTTTGGTCCCTCTGTCTTCGTAGTTTTCCCCTTGGATCTGTCTTGCTTCTCAGTACAGCCTATAGGTCAGTCCAAAACATTGTGGGCAGTTGTACTGTGGTGAAGTTAGTTTTAAGTTGGATATTATGCACCAAACGTTAATCGACCAAAGAGGTAAAATACACTCAAACAAACATGAAACTCTATTAGGAGCTGCGCCTTGTCAAAATAAATCAACTGGACCATGTTGGAATTTAATTTGAAAGGACAGACACAGAAAGTGGTGATGCTCAGCAGTCAGACAGGAGTCATGTTAATTTCCAGGGCTGGTACCTGCGGTTATTCCACAGGCTAGTTAATAACATGTCAGGCAGGAAATCCAAAGTGTGGGATCATTTTTAGAAGGTGAAGGATGAACCCAAGGTGATATGTTAACTCATCTTCATTGGTCGACTACAAACATTATGCATCATCTGTCAGTAGCTACATGCCCATTAGCCACTTAGCACAATCATTACTGCTTTGCAGACAGCGTCATTAACAGGCGGCTCGCTCAGTGTGTGACGTGCACTTGTAGATAAAATATAGGCCTTTATTAATGAAGGTTCATTAGTACGGTTTTGTATTTCTCTGTAATGTAGCACAGTGTTAACAATGTTACTGATACTATTCTTTCTCACACCTTCAACTCAAACCATTGTGTTGCCCCACTCAAAATATATAATTTAATAATTAAATTAATATTGTAAACATGTGGGTGACTAGTTGACTAATGGCCCTAAATGACCCCCTCCCCCCCAGAAAAGCCCCCCTGTCCACTCCCCTTAAATACCACAACACGACCTCATTATTTTCGTTACTTTATTAACTTTACAGCCTGTTTAACATCACACTAACATCACATTCCTTCAGTCTTCTAGTAATTAAATGTTACTTTTTAACAGCTGCATTAACTTATTGGTTTCTTTATGTCTGTCACTGCCGTCCCATCTTAATTTCTGATATTATTTGCCAGAAACACAAGTCTATCAAGTTGATCAGGATCAAGTGCGGCTCTCTGTTTCTTTACAATATTACCTGCCGACGAGAACACGTGCTCAGAGCGCACAGATGTTCCTGGCACACACAGGTATTTACGGGCCTTTTCCTTTTTCTTAATACTCACAAACAGGATAACAAGATGACTGTCAAACTTTGGTGTACTCAAACATTATCGTTGAGTTGTAAAAGGTAAAAAGAGGCTCAGGCTACTGATTCTCAATCAGAAAGATCAGCATGGTCACATGTTCAGGAGTAAGACGCGATCAAAGCCTGGTGACCGTCAATCCAGCCGCTGAAAACACCCACTCTGAGGGGACCGAGGTTGCGGTGATGCAGAGGTAAATATGTGCAAGCTTTGCCAGCCTGGGAAACCGGCCTTCATTTGATTTCCACCAGTCAGCTGGGTCGCAATTCAGGCCTAAGGAAGGCTCCCGCATATCGTTGCGAACTTCTGTTTTGATGGGTATGTCAGATTCCGCAGCATTTGCTGCGTTTTGCTCCCCGAGGAGTTGTGCCATGGCGCTGAATGGAGGAGGTGCTGCTGGGGCTCCTGTGTACTTGACCTTGCTGCTCTCCTCCGAGTCCTCAGAATCATCTAAGTCAGACGATATAGCCTCATTTCCAGACGGTGGGATAGGCTCTGGCTCTTCCATCTCCACTGCCTGCCCAAGTTCCAACAGTTTGTGATTTGCGGCCTCTCTCTGTGTATTCATAAGAAAGCTCAGGTGCTCGTGGTGTGGATCCAGCATTGATGAAATCATGGGAGCAGATGACATCAGCTCCTCAGATTCGACCTGAATAAATAACGAAAATAAAGAACAAATTATTTTTGATCAATCAAAAGCCTTAACGATCAATCATCGATAATCAAAAATTGATGCCCATCCCTAGTTTGGATGAAAGGTGGACTTAGTGACAGAACCGGGGGCCCAAAAAGTCAAACACCTCTCACTTTGATGGCTGGTTTATGCGATGCATCAGGAGTGCTCAGCTGAGACATCATGACATGCTGCAGGGGGAGGACAGCTGATGCTGTTGTGTAGGCATCGGTGGAGAGGGCCTGAGTTGCCACTTTGAACAGTTTCATTGTGTCTTTTAGTTGCTCAACCATGGCCCACTCAGAAGTGCTCCAGAAGAGTTCCAGATGAAACATCTTCTTCTCAAAAATGACGGCTGCCACTGCTGCTTGTTGTTCAGATGCACGGCATATCATGTCATAGGTGGTATTCCATCTGGTGATGCAGTCATTTATCAGTCTGTCTTTTTTCAATCCAAGGAGCTCCTGCTTTTCCTCCAGCAGGCAGGTGTGGGATGGAGACCTCCCAAAATGGGATGCAGTTTGCTTTATTCTGGAGAGAGCAATGTCAACGGCTTTCACCTCAAGCCCCTTGTGCATGGCCAGGTTTAATATGTGTGCCAAACAGAGTACATTAATAAGCCCTAAATTATGTATGGCATCAACGTAGTTCAGAGCATTATTGGTGGCGACTGCCACAACCGCTTCACGGGAGATGTCAAACTCATCCAGTGTGCTGCTGATGCTTTCTGCAACGTGTACAGCTGTGTGGTTTCCTCTTAATTCCTTCGTGCACGAAACATAATTTTCAAGTTCCCATTAGTGTGATATACAGTGAGCTGTGACTGTCACATAAACATGTGTGGCCAGGGATGTCCACCTGTCCTTCCCGTCTTTTCTTTAAAATAGTCTTTATGTTTTCCCGTGTGGTGTCAGACAGCTGCACAATGTGTGCTGAGATTGTGGTGTGACTGGGAATTTTATATCGTGGCTCCAGTTCCATCATGAGGTCCTGAACACCTGTCCCCGAGTACTCCAATAGGCTGCATATCCAATCATATAAATCTTGCTATCTTATCGGTGATGGTCTTTTTATGAGTTTCTGACAAAGGGCCTGCTGAGTCTGCGTGTGCTGAATAATGCGCAGTCAAACGAGGCTGTACACTTGGTGGTGCTCCGCTTGTCTGTGGTGCCTCTGCCTCCGCTGCCTCTGTTGTCGGGTGGTAAGCCAGCAGGTGAGCCCACAGGTTTGTTGTCGCTGAAGAGTAAGACAGCTGCTTTTTACAAAGTTGACAAACAGCCTTATCTTTGTGCGTGACTTTGCCATCTATGGTGTAGAACCCTAAATACTTCCACACACTGCTTCTCAGATGTTTTGGTGTCGTGGTTGTCCGCTCAGGGTGGCTTTGTTTGCTATCGTCCTCCATTTTCGTAGCAAAATAACACATTAACATTAGCTTCGTTTAGTGACAGGTCAGTAGGACATGCAATACGTCAACATGATAGTGAATTTTTAGAGTGCCCTCTGTTGGATCACAAGACAAACTACATCAAATTGTCTGATGCACCTAGAGATTGCAGCCAACAGGTAATTACAGCTCGATAATGAACTTTTCACCTCATGTCCGAAACTCGAATAAAAAGTGACAGCCCTACTATGAATAGAACCACATGCGCATTTGTGTAACTGCAGCAGTCAACAGACAATTAGTGCTGAAAGTATGTCCTCGGCCAAGCTACCTCACCTCTCTTCAATGACCATCGGCTCTGCCCCAATCTCACCCACTTTAAGGAACACATGAGTGAAGTGCAAGAACCACAAATTTGTACTGCAGTAGTACTTGAGTTGATGTACTTAGTTACTTTCTACCACTGTTAGCTGAGTTGAGAAACACCATGAAGGTGGCCAATGCTAGCTAATTTAGCTAACACATCATAAAAATGGCTTTAAATGGTCCATAATGTTATCTACATTGTGTTGTTTTGTAAGGCAGCAGATACTGTGCCATTACTGGCATTTTATTTATTCAGGCTGCCAGTAATCAAACTTGACTCACGGCAAACTCTCGCATCCTATGGACAATCATTCTCACATAATTCACTTTAGACTGAGCACGTAAAGAGCCACACTGTAGCCTCCAGACATGACAAGAGTAACAGTTCATGTTAATGACTGCTATGAAATTGAAGCTCACCTCAACCTCACTCAGTTGAGTGAACATTGTTAAGCTGTTTGATCTGTAGAAGTTCAGTAAGGAGTTTTTGAGCTGTGATGTGAATGAACGACAACATTTCTCTGTAACATCTGTGTGTGTGTGTGTGTGTGTGTGTGTGTGTTTTTCCTGTTTCCTGCAGACGTCCAGCAGCTGTTGGTGGTTAAAGAAGAGGTTCCTCCTGAGCAGCAGGAGTGGAGCTCCAGTGTGGACCAGGAGGCCCCAGAGCCTCCACACATTAAAGTGGAACAGGAGGAACTCTGGATCAGTCAGGAGGGAGAGCAGCTTCAAGGGCTGGAGGAGGATGATATCACCAAGTTCACATCCACTCCTGTCCCTGTGAAGAGTGAAGATGATGAAGAGAAACCTCAGTCCTCACAGCTTCATCAAAGACACACTGAACAGATGAGAACAGAAGTGGAAGGAGGGCACTATGGAGAAGCAAAACCATCCAGGAACTCAGATTTGGATAGACATTTACAACCTGAGACTGATGACAAGACTGGAGTGTCTTCTGAACAAGAGACTGATGACAGTGATGACTATTGGAAGGAGACCAGAGAACCTCAGTCAGGTTTAAACTCTCTAAAAAATGATCAAGTCTCTGTCAGTGATTTGATTGTTTGTGAGAAACGTTTTAGCTGCTCTGAGTGTGGGAAAAGATTTGATTACAGTGGAGATTTGAAGATACACATGAGATCTCATACAGGAGAGAAACCATTTAGCTGTTCTGTGTGTGGGAAAAGATTTGGTCGTAATGGAATTCTGAAGCAACACATGATAGCTCATACAGGAGAGAAACCATTTAGCTGTTCTGAGTGTGGGAAAAGGTTTGGTCGTCGTGGAATTCTGAAGCAACACATGATAGCTCATACAGGTGAGAAACCATTTAGCTGCACTGAGTGTGAGAAAAAATTTTGTTACAGTGGCGATCTGAAGAAACACGTGACATGTCATTCTGGAGAGAAACCATTTAGTTGCTCTGAGTGTGGGAAAAGATTTGGTTACAGCCGTGATCTGAGGGGACACATGAGATCTCATACAGGAGAGAAACCATTTAACTGCTCTGAATGTGGGAAAACATTCGTTTACAGTGGAGATTTGAACAAACACATGAGATCTCATACAGGTGAGAAACCATTTAGCTGCTCTGAGTGTGGGAAAACATTCAGTTACAGTGGAGATCTGAACAAACACATGAGATCTCATACAGGAGAGAAACCGTTTAGCTGTTCTGAATGTGGGAAAACATTTGGATACAGTAAAAGTCTTAAAGTACACATGAGAGCTCATATAGGAGAGAAACCATTTAGCTGCTCTGAGTGTGGAAAAAGATTTGGCCTCAGGGGAATGCTAGCAGTACACATGAGATCTCATACAGGAGAGAAACCATTTAGCTGCTCTGACTGTGGGAAACGATTTTGTCACAGTGGAGGTCTTAAGGCACACATGAGAACTCATACAGGAGAGAAACCATTTAAGTGCTCTGAATGTGGGAAACGATTTAGTCAAAGTGGAGTTTTGAAGATACACATGAGATGTCATACAGGAGAAAAACCATTTAGCTGCTCGTTTTGTAGGAAGTCATTTACACAAAAGGGAAATTTACATTCACACATGAAAAGTCATAAGGAGAAAAGTGATTGAGCTGTTCAGTCTGGAAAAAAATTCTATTTGGAAGAAGAAGATTATAAAAACACCCATGAGAAGTCATACGGGAGAAAGTCTTTTTAATTTCAGTGTCTGTATGAAATCTTTTACACAGACTAGACAGTTACACAAACACATTCAAACCCACACTGAAGCTACGGTGTTTCTCACTTCAGATTGTCTTGGCTTAAACCTTTTTCAGCCTGAGACTATGACAAGATGAAAGACTCTACTCAACCTAAACCTTTCTGGAAAATATTTAGTGTCAGTATGTCATGTGACAGACTGGGGGCAGGCAGACTGACACAGACCCAAACATTTATGTATGGATGTATGTTTTTAAATATATGTATTTACTTACTTACTTACTTACCAAGATCAGTCTTGTACAGCCAGGGTGAGTATTTCCCCTCTGACAGCCAAACTGGGTCAAAACCTGTTATCCGGTGGTGACTGGACTTTTGCTGCTTGTCAGGGTCAGGGCATGCAGCAATTTGGCTCTTTCCTGTACTTGGATCCAGAGCAGGAGAGCTACTCTGGGTGCTAAATTCTAAAACTGATTTGAAAATAGTTTTCTTTTAAGAATCTGCACAAAATAGCCCATAATGAGTAAGTGAAAACATCTTTTCAGACATTTTTGTAAATTTATTAAAAAAAAAAAATGTAATCATCGCTCAGCGATCTTCATGACTCAGCCTTCATTTGGAATTGTGTGTTATCAGCTTTACTCTCCCAGTTTGGAGAAGCAGACAAGAGAACTGGCATGGTTAGGTCGGTAACTGTCCAATTGAAGGGCAGCTGAAGACCACCGACTCAGTGTGTTCTGTGAGGTAAAATTTAGGGATCTACCAATAATTGGCACTGCCGATAATATCGGACGATATTCAGCATTTTTATGATAATCGGCATTGGCCGCTTTTTCCACTGATAGCCGATAAAATACGTTTATTTTAATTAAAATACGTTTATTTTAATTAAAACGCGCTCCTTTGGCTCTCATGCAGCCGTCTCTCTCTGCCTGTCTGCCTGAAGTCTCCACTCTGTGCTGTGTAACAAATGTCCCGCCTATAGCCCCCACTGATTGGCTACACGGCACAAGTGAGTGACAGCCAATTAACACTGATGGTAGATGCAGTGCTGCAGGCAGCGGCAGAGAGAGAGAGGAGGGGAGAGAGGACTACTCTGTGAAGCAGCAGTGTGATGTTTGAAGGCAAGGCAACAGAAAATCTCGAAGTTGCAATAAGAAATCCTCTATGCTGAAGTTTTAAAGACACCACTGTTGATGCTTGATAAACACACCATCTTCATACTGTATCTCAGTGTCTGTTCCCCCCCTCACGTGGTTGCTCGCGAGTCGCAACGGGCAGCCATTGGAAACAATAATCTCGTCTAAAACTACTTCACATCGACATGTAGAAGTTTACTTCAGTGCATTTTGTGTGTGTGTGTGTGTGTGTGTGTGCGCGCGTGCGCGCGCGTGTGTATGTGTGTTGCGCTGAGAAAAAACTATTGTCTGGATGAACCATGGTGTTAAACTATATATCTTTAAATTTTTCAGTCATGGCTGAAAATAACAGAAATAAACAGGTTTGCTGAATTCACATATCACTGCAATTCACAACAGTTTGCAGTTTCTACCTGGAAGGTTTAGATCAAGGTCACGGTGATTCAGTCTGCGAAGACGTCATCAGCATCCATGTAAGCATATGATGTCATCCGGAGACTTTAAGTGACTTTTTGGAGCTAGTGCTAGCTTCTTTCATTGGAAAAGAGTTGGCAACTACTTGTGAACTATAGCCAAGAAAACAATACTATTAAGAATCAGAAAAAACTCATCTCAACACTCAGCTCTGAAAAAAAAGTTACCCTGATGGATTATGTGTTAAAGGTTTCATTTTATTTCCTGAACGTTACACCTACGGACTATCTGTGTAAACTGCCCATCAAAATATTAAAGGGGAACTAATGTTTTTTTCAACCTGGGGCCTATTTTCCGATCTACTTTTGTCTAAATGAGTGATAGAATGTTCAATATTTGACATTTCTCCAGTTCGAAGCTAGGGCTGACCTGCCTGCAGCCTGTGAGCGCGTGCTATATTAAATAATAGGACACTCAGACAGCGTCAAACGAGGGAGCAGCATTACTTTGGTAGCACATATACTAAAATTGCAACAGGCAGAGGAACATGTCCGAATCCAGCTAAAGGTAAACACAGGTGTTCATTTCTCCTTTCCGTTATGTTGTTGGATAATGATACGAACACTCCGAGCCTATCTGTGAAAAACAAAATGCACTTTAAGTGGACATATTTCAACGTTGTTTGATGCTGTCTGAGTGCTCTATTATTTAATATAGCGTGCGCTCACAGGCTGCAGGCAGGTCAGCCCTAGTTTTGTACTGGAGAAATATCAAATATTGAACATCCTATCACTCATTTAGACAAAAGTAGATTGGAAAAAAGGGCCCAGGTTCATAAAAACATTAGTTCCCCTTTAAAGGCTGGATGTAACCATTCTGATGTTACACTTATGGATTCCCTGTGTAAACTGTCTACTAATATTAAGTGATCTTAATTTTGTGTTATTATGTACATGGTCTGTGTGGATTTTATCATTGTCTTTCTCTTTTTTCATCCTTGTAATATTTTACTGAGTTTACTAATGGAACCCTAACCCTATACACTGGAAAGTGCCTCGATAAAGTCACTCCAAGGATTTTTTGCATCTCTCCATCATGTTTCTGTTGCTCATGTTGCCTACTACTTTCTTTCTTTTTTTTTTTTTTTTTTGCATATGTGAAGTCAAATGAACTAAACTAAAAATCAACTGGAACACTTCAATAAAAGTCATTTGAATAAGTGCATTTTAATCATTTATCCTCCTGACTGTGTGTTTTTGAGTAAGCCCGGAATTCCTAGCAACACTTCTGGACTTTTATTTTGAAGCTCATTAACTCATTTACCCCGGAAGCTGTACTCTTTACTGTTGCGAACGTCACACTGTTTGAACAAGATGGCGTCTGTTTGATATGTGTGTTATCAGAGTTTTTTTTTTGTGTTTTTAAAGTGTGAACATGTCTAAAGTCCAAATGTTGAGAGCGTAAGTTAGGTGAAGCAGCGACTAACTGCGGCTGCTGAAGAGATATTTGGGCTGTTTGAAAGAACTATAGCAGAGTACGAGGAGGAACTTTGTCGATCAAAAGAGGAGAACGAGCGACAACGGAAACTAATGGACGCTGTTTCCAACCCTCAGCTTCGGTTACTCAGAGCAGGTTTGTTCATTAAACATTACAAGTGCATTATTAATAATATAACTGCAGCTTTGTTCAATAAATATTCAGTCTGTCGATGTTTATACGCCGCATTAGCTTCTCTGGTGTCGTTAGCTTCTCTGGTGTTGTTGTCTTATGGAATCCGGAAGGGATCTAAACGTCTGTTTTGTCGTCCGTATTAACGCGTCAAATACACATTAAAACAAGACGTTTACTATTGGGTGCAGCCATTTCACCAGTTTCGGAGGGGAAGCTGATGTAACAGTATTCGGTACATTGTATTCACATAAGTGTCCACTAGATGGTAGAATTAAATCAGAGTACATTGAACATAGTGTTTAGTCATCTATTCTGAGTGTGTGATATATGTGTGTCTCATATATTGTTGCCAGGCAACCACCCCATCACGTCCTCAC